ATTGAATAAAATAAAAGTTCTTTACAACTTTACAAAAAAAAAAGGACAAATATACCAATATACAAGACATAACTTTGATTAGGTTAAATTGAATTGGCATATTTGAGAAGAAGAAAAAAAGGAAAGAAAGAATTTGTTAAGATGCAAAATGATTTGACAAAAAATAGTTAATCAAGACCCAAGAATTAGACGAACAAGAAAATAGCATTCAAAAAAGGGGAAAAAATTAAAGCTTGTGAATCCACAAGTTTATAGTCAAGATGACTATAAACAAAAAATAACATACATTGTTTATTTGGCTTGAACTGAATTACATAATAAGACCTATTAAGACTCCGCCAAAAAAAAGAGTGAGTGAAAGAATAAAAAATTTGAAGAAGGCCATGTAGAATCAAGAATTGTAAAATAGGAAAAAAAGTTGAATGATGGCAATCAAGAAAAATGGTAGCCTGACAAGAAGGATTAAAAAAGAGGCGAAAAAGTAAATAGAATAAGAGGAAAAAAAACACATGCCTGGAGGGTGCTTGTAGTTAAAACAAGGTTTTCAAACTATTAAATAAAAAAATAAAAAAGATCAAAAGAAGACATAATTATCATGAGACCAACAAAAAAACAATCTTGTGTACTTTTGGCAACAAAAGTTGAAGAGAATATTGTATACAAAAAAAAAAAATTGCTCAGATTCAAGTTTTGAGATGAAGTCATCCAATTAAAATCTTCAAACAAAAAGGAAAAGACAAAATAATAATAATAAACAAAAAAATGATAACAAAAAATAATAATAATAAAATATTAACCAATAAATAAAAATAATAAAAATAACATAACAAGACGAATAACGCATGTCAATAATAATAATAATAATAATAATAATAATAAAAGAAAAATGGGGTCAAGCATGGCAACCATGAAAAGAAAAATGAGAAGCAAATAATGGTGATCAAGAATAATACAAACAATAGCTAAAAATAAGGAATGAAAAATTGTGAAGGTAAAGATGAAAAAAAAAGGAAAAAGCAAATTAAAAAACTTTTGACAATCAGAGAATAAGAATTAAACAATCCTTAAAAACAAATTTGAAAGCATTTACATGATTAAAAAAATAAAATAAAAAAGTAACTGAAAAATAAAATTAATAAAAATATAAATTTAAAAAATTAAATTAAAAATATATATACAAATAAAAAAAGCACACCTGTCACACTTGATTGATTGAGTCTTTGGCATGAATAGTCAATCGCAAGGCAGGTTAAGAATTAAAGTATCCAGATGATCAAATATACATAGGCCTCACGAATTGTAGTAGAATTTAAGAAGGACTTATTAGTCTATTTAGATTAAAGCATACTCCAAAATTTTAGGTCTATGTAGTTAAGTTAAAAAAGAAATGATAAATAAAGTAAAAGTCTATATTTTAGACCCATGTGTTCAAATAAAAATAGAATTGTGACTCTTATATAATTTAGAACTTTATATCAATAAAATACTAGAAAGCAATAACTAAATTTAATTCTATATTTTATTTAGAGTTTAACCTAGCCTATAATAAATCAATATATATATATATATATATAAATATTACAAAATACATATCGAGATCCATTTATAAACTATCAAATATGTAAATAAGTTTCGAGGGGGCATTTGTAGACATTAAAAAATTAATGTCTATAATTGAGTTCAAATCAATTGGATTGGATCTAAATTCCATAAACTCAAATCTTACAAGTCTAAATTCAATTAAATAGGCTTGAGTTAGACCTAAATTTCACAGCCATAATAATATAAGTCCAAATGTAATTAACCAGGCTTGTTAAATTCAATTAAAATGAACTTAAATTTCATAAATTAACTAAATCCCACAAATTTATGGGTAACCCGCTACTTAAAGCTCACATAAGGGTATTCAGGTAAAAATACCCTTATATGGATAACTACTTCTATCACTATAAATGGAGGCCAAGAAAGTGGGAAGCAAAAAAGGAGGCCAACAAGGAAGAGCAAAAGAAGCCAGGGAGGAGGGAAGATCAATAGCAAAACTCTGTCGAAATCTACCCCCAACTGAGGTCTTGCAAATCCATCTCTAAGGAGAAGAAACACCACCAATGTCTTTCTTTAAGAGATTCAAATTATATTCAAGTCATTCAACACAAAGAACGGCGAGAAGATTCGACAAAGTCAAGTCAAAGATCGATGAACGAGATTCACGTCATTCTGACCATCGTCTTCAACAAATCCACCAAATCAAAGATTGAAGAATGATAACCACATCAATATGACTCTCGACTTCAGCAAATTTATCAAAACATTACCAAATCAAAGATTGAGAAACACGCTGGTCAAGCCCTTGTCTTCACCAAATCAACCAAAGTCAACACTAAATCATAGATCGAGAAACACGCCGATTCGGCCCTTGTTATCATCAAATCCACCGAAAATTAGAGAAAAATACATGTGAGAAGCACGCCAAAGAAAGTTAACACCACTTTATTAAATTAAGTCAAATTAAAAACAATTGTAATTTTGACATTACTTTGGTATTAATATTACATCACGAAATTTTGTCGTTATAGTCATCACCTAATTAAAAGCTACATCATTATAATATACCTTTTTCTAAAAAGCTACATATATTCAAAAAACTACATCATTATAATGTACATTTTTTTCCATAAATACAGATCGTCTGACAGATACACTAAAAAAATATACAGATCATCAAACAAGTACACTAAAAAAATATAATATACCTTCTTCTCCATAAACAAAGATTGTCTGATAGGTACACTAAAATAAAGATCGTCAGATAGGTATAATAAAACACAGATCATCAGATAGGTATAATAAAACACATATCATTAGAAATATATACTAAAACACAGATTGTCAAATTCACCTTAACATGACCTAGTTTCAATATAACAAAGAAAAAAAAAACCCTAAAAGCTAACCACCTATTATCAAACCTTCAAATTCAAGGGCTCAAAAACCTATAACAATTAGTCAAAAATTCCTAAAAATTACTCCACTATATTCAAACCCTAAACCGAGCTCGGTATAAAATAAATCAATCTTCCTCTACTCCTTCAAACGTCTATTTGTACTCTAGTAATTTTATCTTTTCCTCGACAGTGAAATCATTCACAACATTAAATGTCTGGCGAACATGGTCGAAGACAACTGCACTTCGAACATGATTCCACTACCCAATGTGGATAGCAAAACTCAACAAATATTAAAATATGCAATTAAATTAACGATAACTTTTAATTAGATCAATATTTTAAGTCCAAATAGCATTACTCTAATTTATAATGTGGAAAACAAAAATGAGATAAAATATCTTAATTCATGAGTAATGTTATTCAAACCTAAAAATCTGACTTTATATACTGGCATGATAACGTGGATTCATTGAAACCATTGGATGAAGAGCAAATTCTAATATTTAATGGAGCTCACAACCAAAGTGAGTCAGATTAACAAGGTCAAAATTATTAATTTATTATTATATTATTTAAACAGACAAATGAGTTGACAGGACTCACCCGAATACGACCCATTTATTAAACATGTCTAACGGGTCAACCTGTTTACAACTCAAACCTATTAAGATCTCACTCAAATCCGCTTAATTCGTGTCGGTTAATCATATCATATTAGACTTTGACAGATTTAGTGAAGAGTTCTAATGCCTTTTGCTCACATATATTTGTAGAACAACAGTACCCCCACCTAATTTTCCCAAAAATGAGTTAAAATATTTTTAATTCATACACCCACAAAAGTTGGTGGAGATTTCATTTATAGAACAATATATCCGATCCCCACCTAATTTTCCCAAAAATGAGTAAAAATATTTTAATTCATACGCTTACGAAAGTTGGTGGAAAATTTTGATCATGTATTTGTAGAACAACATATCCCCACCTAATTTTCCTAAAAATGAGTTAACTTGTTTTAATTCATACACTTACGACAGTTCATGGAGAGTGTTCTCCTCTTTTGCTTTGTTTTCTTTCTTCTAACCATTGACTTGGTTAAAGAGTCGAACACTCTTGTTAGTTTGAGAAGATGATGAAACTCTTGATGATTTCTAAAAGCATATGAAACACTTGGTGGTAATTTCACCGCAATGCATTGAAAGAGTTAAAAACTCCTATAATCTGCAACTTCGAAGAGATTCGGTATAACCGCAATTGCTTCAAGTTGCTGTGGTTTTGAATCGAGTTGCTGCTATCAAAGATTGAAAATATTAAATTGACAAGGAAAGGAGTAAACAGATTTTTTTTTACCTGCAAAGCTTCAGAATTTTTTCTTCTTCCTCTGCAGAAAATTCTCTTTCTCCTTGCCCACCGATTTTTTTTCCTCTAATAACCGTCTTAAAAAAACTCTTATCTTGATCTCAAGATCAAGTATATTTGTAAAGGAGCTTTTGCATGTGAAGGGGGAAATTGACAATCTTTTAAGAACCCAACCAATACCACTTTCCCTTATTTCTAGGCAATTGGTGTAGTGTGATTGCAGTTGGTATAGTGGAAACTGCCCCAACCTCCAAATGCTCATCATCAAGCCCTTTATTTGGCTAATCTATCCATTATCGGTGAACCACCCACTTTGTCCTTTCTCGTAGGAAAACCGTCCTTAATTATTGATTTCCTTTTTTTTTTTTTTTGGACAACATATCATTTTCAGAATTCATAAGGATGAATTTTATTTAGAATGCATCAAATTAAAATGTGAAATTTGACAATTGAATTTGAAGGGTCAAGTTAACGATAAATAATTCGAGAAAATCACACGTCGAGCATGAACTCGTCATTAACTTCTTAAAATAAAAATTTGCACCAAAAATTGACGAATTCTGAATTTTTTTTTTTTTGTCGTTTTTCAGGGGTCTCAGTCTTGAAGTCAAGAGACTCCCTGTAGTTCTTCATCATTGAATCTTTGTTAGACTTCAGAGCATTAGCGAGCTCCAAATCCTTTTTCTCCAAGGCAGCTCAAAGCTCGGAAACCTTAAGGGAGAGGGCTTCCTTCTCCTCTTCAACCTTCTCCGCTCTAGCGGAGGGCTCCAAGATTGTAGCCTCTGAGGCAGCTAATTTTCCTTGCATCTCATTCTTCAGATGATGCAGCTCATTCCTGGCTTCCAACGTCTTGTTCAGAGAAACTTTCGCCTTTTGATGATCCTTCAATTCTTGGAGAAGTTTCTCCTGTGAAATAACCAAATCATTATGCAACTTCTCTCTCTTGGCGAAGACTCAGCCTCCAGAAGAGGCACCAAGGGCATACGAGACTCCTCATTGTAAGCACCGGCAAGGTCCAATCCCTTAAATTTAGTAGTTTTAGCACTCGGAGTGGCTGTAGGGGCACATTCGGCTCAAAGGACTGGTAGGGGGCACGGTAGAACTCGTAGTTTGCCCTTTGGTCTTTGTAGGTGCGAGTCTGGGATTCTTAAGCCTCGAAGAACCTCCAAAGCTCTAGCTACCATGAGTTCCTTGAGGAGTTTCTTTTCTACCTTGGGGATCATCCCTGTAGAAGCAAAACATGACAAATCCATGAAAAAATAGAAATCAAGAAAACTCCACAAGTGAAAGACCTTTACTGCTAGGTGGAGAAGGACTAGATGTAAAGAGAATAATGGCTTTGGGGGCAGGACCTAATTGACACTCAAAAAGAGCTTGATCAATGACAAGGTTGGGTAAATTCTTGGTATGGTAAACCAAGGCTTTCTTAACTCATAGCTTGGGCTCAAGAGGCAGAGGACCTGATTTACCTACACCAAACAAAATGTATCAGCAAAAACAACCGAATGGGAAAATAAACAGAAAGCTACTACTTACGAAGAGAATGAGTAGGAGATCCCCATCGACGAGGGACCTAGAGGGGCCTGCTGGAGAGGAACTTTGAAGACCCAAACCCCTAACCAGACCTAGAAACAAAAAAATAATTTGTCTTTCCACTCCTTGACATTAGAAGAATAGCTCATCAAGAGATTGATCTTCTCTCTCTTGGGAAAATAAAACCACCCCTGATTCTGTCATACACAAGTGTGATTTTATAATAGTGGAAGAGCTTGTCGATTTTAGGGTGAGCACTGATGTCATTGGCTCTTTCCCAAAGAGCAAAGATGCCGATCAGAAACTCCCAACTATTTGGAGTCAATTGTGAGAGGGCAAGATTTAAGAAATGGAGGCTTCCCTAATATACTGAAGCATGGGGAAGCGAAGTCCAGCCTCAAAAATTGACTCATAAAAGCAAACTTTGTTAGGACCAAACGAATCAGCTATTTCATCTAGGGAGGGAAGTCGAAGGCGAATAGAATCAAGAATTTGGTAATATCCTCTAATTTCATTCAAAACCTTCTCATTAAGAGAGCACCTGACTTGCTTAGCCCCACAACTTTGATTGATAAGGAGGTGATCTCCAAAATAAATCAGAATCATCCTCGGCATTGTCGGCCTCGAATACAAGGAAATGGGAACCCTCAGATAAAGTTCACTCTGAATTGCTCATGGCAGTAAAAAGGAAGAAGACAATTGGTGCTATGAGTATGAACAGACAAGTAATAATCGAAGACAAATTCAAGCCAAACTCGAGAGGACCTATCAACAAAAAAAACCTAGGTGATCAAGGTCACAACCCTTCCACTAGAGGAAACAAAAACGATAAATGTGAAATTGAAAGACGTGACGCTATGTACTCCAACTTTGGAGAGTTCAAGTAAAACAAAAAAAGGAAAAGAAGATCAAGAAGAGATGTACCCGAGTTCTTGGAGGTTCTTGAAGCAGGCTGGGCAAGAGAAACGGGATGTGTTTAAAAACTAGTCACACAACAACTCTTTGGCAGCTACATCTGCACGAGCCACAACTCCGCTTCCCAAGGCACTAAAGGATAAATACATTAAATGAGGATCACGTTCAAGCCATGTTGAGTTAAACTGGAGGCAATTGATTATAGGGGTTTGAACACGTGCCCGGACTAAGAAGCTCCATAGCTCGAAAAGGACAAACTCCAATCCCCTCGTAACTTTGACTAGTTCAACTTAGCTGAAGCCTCCACTCAATCAAGAGGTCATTTCCACCACTCCCAATGTAATTGCCTTCATTTGAATAAGAGGATAAGAAATCCCTAGTGACATAATTAAACTAATCTATAAAAAGGAAAGAATGGAGATCAACCACGGTAAACTATAATCACTCCAGCACAATACTCTCCATCCTAAATCCTTAATCTAACTTAAAACATCAGAGAGTTAACCTCAAAGTTCCCATAGTCTTCGACTTGCCCTTGCAGGTACCTCATTGATTGTTCGGAAGGCAATTTCATCTAAGGAGCTCATAGATCAATTTCAAGTATCAACAACTCACATTTTAAGTGCAAAGTGTGTCATCAAAGTGCCACATTATGCTCCATTGCCCCAAGCCCCATGTCACCTAATTCATACCCGCGAGCACAAGCACGAACTGTGCTTTGCACCGTGGGTTGCCCTACGATGCATAGTGGAACCTTTATGCTAAAGTAAATGTACTTACTCTACTAACATCATCACATGTAAAGGAGTTCTTCTCTCAAGGTAAGCTTCTCAAGGAATTAAATGCCACCATCATCACATTGGTTCCTAAGGGGCCTAATCCTACATCCATGAATGATTTTAGGCAAATCTCATGTTTTAATACCATCTGCAAGGCTATCTCCAAACTCATTGCTTCTAGAATCAAGGAAGTGATCGTCTAAGTGTCATTTTAGAAAGGTGAGGGATGTTTGTGTAATAAAACTAAATGTCAGGAGGTGTAAGTGAAATTTACCCTTATATTGTTGACCATAGTCAAGATGCATTTATTCTTGGTAGAAGGACTGGAGACAACATATTAATTTCTCAAGAGTTGTTTAGAAATTATTATAGGAATCAAGGAGCTGCAAGGTGTGCTATCAAGGTGGACTTGAGGAAAGCCTTTGATACTATTAACCGGGGGGTTTCTTAATGGATGTTCTTGATGTTATGGGATTTCCTCTCTTGATTAGAAAATGAGTTTGACAATGCATTTTAACACCCAAGTTTTCTGTTAATGTTAATGGTGAGCTTGTTGGGTTTTGTCCTAGCATGAGAGGCTTAAGGCAAGGAGATCTGGGACAAATAGATTTTTGTCATTTGCTGGAAGACTGAATTTAACATNAGGCAATTGATTATAGGGGTTTGAACACGTGCCCGGACTAAGAAGCTCCATAGCTCGAAAAGGACAAACTCCAATCCCCTCGTAACTTTGACTAGTTCAACTTAGCTGAAGCCTCCACTCAATCAAGAGGTCATTTCCACCACTCCCAATGTAATTGCCTTCATTTGAATAAGAGGATAAGAAATCCCTAGTGACATAATTAAACTAATCTATAAAAAGGAAAGAATGGAGATCAACCACGGTAAACTATAATCACTCCAGCACAATACTCTCCATCCTAAATCCTTAATCTAACTTAAAACATCAGAGAGTTAACCTCAAAGTTCCCATAGTCTTCGACTTGCCCTTGCAGGTACCTCATTGATTGTTCGGAAGGCAATTTCATCTAAGGAGCTCATAGATCAATTTCAAGTATCAACAACTCACATTTTAAGTGCAAAGTGTGTCATCAAAGTGCCACATTATGCTCCATTGCCCCAAGCCCCATGTCACCTAATTCATACCCGCGAGCACAAGCACGAACTGTGCTTTGCACCGTGGGTTGCCCTACGATGCATAGTGGAACCTTTATGCTAAAGTAAATGTACTTACTCTACTAACATCATCACATGTAAAGGAGTTCTTCTCTCAAGGTAAGCTTCTCAAGGAATTAAATGCCACCATCATCACATTGGTTCCTAAGGGGCCTAATCCTACATCCATGAATGATTTTAGGCAAATCTCATGTTTTAATACCATCTGCAAGGCTATCTCCAAACTCATTGCTTCTAGAATCAAGGAAGTGATCGTCTAAGTGTCATTTTAGAAAGGTGAGGGATGTTTGTGTAATAAAACTAAATGTCAGGAGGTGTAAGTGAAATTTACCCTTATATTGTTGACCATAGTCAAGATGCATTTATTCTTGGTAGAAGGACTGGAGACAACATATTAATTTCTCAAGAGTTGTTTAGAAATTATTATAGGAATCAAGGAGCTGCAAGGTGTGCTATCAAGGTGGACTTGAGGAAAGCCTTTGATACTATTAACCGGGGGGTTTCTTAATGGATGTTCTTGATGTTATGGGATTTCCTCTCTTGATTAGAAAATGAGTTTGACAATGCATTTTAACACCCAAGTTTTCTGTTAATGTTAATGGTGAGCTTGTTGGGTTTTGTCCTAGCATGAGAGGCTTAAGGCAAGGAGATCTGGGACAAATAGATTTTTGTCATTTGCTGGAAGACTGAATTTAACATACCATGAGTATGTCCACAGACTAAAAAGTTTTGTCAATTTTTTATAATGTGATGACCTAGTAACTAATTATCTAGTATCCAACCTTGTTTATACAGTGAGAAACTGATAAAATAAAGATAAAATATGTCACTCATTCGTATCCAAAGTAATTTGAATATTGTTGGATCTCTATGAATCCTATCATATATCTAATATACATATTGACAGTATATTAAGACACTTTCATATTATTTCCTATCAAATGTGGGATTTTCACAATAGAGAACAAAAATAACCAAATATGGATGCATGGAAAAGGTAATGAAAACTTATGATGAAGCACAAGGGTGGGCTCTGTGACACCAAGAATGTAGATTCAAATAAAAGATGATGAGCTGTCTGTTAGCTAATATAAACCATACACTTAGAGAGAGACACAGAGAGAGAGAGAACAATCAGCTCAACACATTATTGATTTCCAGATCTATATTTATACACTTTACAATCACATTGTCTAAGTTCCTCTAACTACATTCAACAAGTTGACTTACATGGTTTCACACTTCACAATCTGTTACGAACACGGTTACAAACTTCATTTATAACTAAATCTAACTTAGCTATAATCCTGCTAAGGTATAGAGAGTAACTTCATATGAATGCAGCTAGCATCCTCTGTTCAAGGTGTGAAAGAAGAGAATACAAATCGAATATGATTGTATATTGCTTTGGTGTGCTTTTCCATATGCATGAGGATGTGTATTTATAGTACAAGGACATAGTAAAGTATCCTAGACTAACCGATGTGGGATAAACATTAAACATATATACATTAACATACCCCCTCAAACTCAAGGAGGTAAAGTAAAAATCAAATTGAGTTTGGAAACCAAGTCATGAAATTGGTCCTACGGATGTGCCTTGGCAAAGATGTCAACACTCTGGTCAGATGAAGAAATAGAGAGAAGATGAATTGTGCCTCGAGCCACATGTTTGTCGTACAAAATGACAGTCCATCTCTATATGCTTGGTGCGATCATGGAAAACATCATTGTGAGCAATCTGTATCACACTCTGATTGTCACAATAAAGAATAGTAGCTCCAGAATGAGAGACACCTAAATCTTATAAGAGCCAACAAAGCCAAAGAAGCTACTTAGTAATGTCAATAAGAGCACGGTACTCTATCTCTGTACTAGATAGAGAGATAACATATTATTTTTTGCTATGTCAAGAGATGAGAGAGTCGCCTAGAAAGAAACAGTAACCAGTGATAGAACGATGATTAGTAGGATCTCCTGGTTAGTTAGCATCAGAATAGGTGCGTAGCTTGAGAGATAAGTGAGTGAAGTAATGAAGACCATGAAACATAGGACCCTTAATAAATTGTAGAATATGAAAAGCAACAACATAATGAGTAGAACAAGGGGCATTCAAAAATTGGTTGATGAGATGAATAACATAGGCTATATCCGGGCGAGTAACAATGAGATACACAAGAGTACCTACCAACTGGCGGTAAAGAGCGGCATCAGGGAGAGGCATGCCATCTAAGGGAATAAGTCAAACATTTTTCTCTAATGGAGTAGGTACAGTCTTGCAAACAACGAGTCTAACACGGGTAAGAAGATTAGAGACATATTTGGCCTAAGAGAGATAACACCCACTAGAGTCGGACAAAATCTCAAGGCCCAAAAAGTAGCTGAGAGAACCAAGATCCTTTATTTCAAAGTATGTGTGAAGAAAATGTTTGAGATTAGAAATACCAGAAACATCATCCCTAATGATAATCATATCATCAACATATAGAAGTAATAGAGTAGTGACACGCTTAGACTTACGAACAAAGAGAATTGAATCATACGAGCTAGAAAAGAAACTAAAATCTCCAATGGTAGCACTAAACTTTACAAAACTAGGCTCTAGGGGCTTGCTTGAGCCCATATAGTGCACAAAGGAGTCGACAAACCTAATGTGGTGAATGAGGATAGCCAGGAGGACGCTGCATGTAGACTTCCTCTTTAAGGTCACCATTGAAAAAGGCATTTTTGACATCCATCTGATATAGTTTCCACTGGCGAGTCACAGCAACAACTAGTAGGCTTTGAATTGAAGTGAGATGAGCAAAGAGAGAAAAAATTTCCTCATAATCAACACCATACTCATGTGTAAAGCCCTTGACCACTAGACGAGCCTTGTAACGCTGAAAAGAACCACCACAATAAGTCTTAATCTTATAAATCCATTTACAACCAATAGCCTTTTGGTTAGGATGAAGATCAGCCAAATCCCAAGTATGTGTGTTAGCTAGTACCTGTAATTCCTTTGCCAATGATTATTGTCAATGAGGATAAGGGCTAGTGTCACAATAAGAGTGAAGCTCATGTTGAGATAGAATAATGAAAAAACAGTGATAATCATGTAAATGACCTGAAATGTTCCTTATTCGAGTGGAATGATGTTGCGGATAAGTAGGAGATTGAGTAACAATAGGAAGTGGTGTAGGGGGTCAGGAGCTGAGTCAAAATCACTATCAATGTGTACTGGTGAAGGAGTAATAGGATCAACAGGCAGGACAAAAGCCTCTGGATGGTTCGTTGATGAGAGTTGCGATGAGTCTAGATATGGGTCATTAGGATATAGATCTGTAAAGAGAGGAGAAATAAGAGTAGATGAAAGTTGAAACTGAGATAAGGAGGAGAACATCTTGTTTTCCCAGAAGATAACGTGTTGAGAAACACAAAGATGCTTGGAATATGTATCCCAACAACGATAAACCTTATGTTCAATCTCATCCCCTAAGAAACACAAAAGATGTGCTCGAGGTTCTAACTTGGTACATTCATGGGGCTGGAGTAATACAAAACATGCACAACTGCAAACTCGAAGAGAGTGGTAATTAGGGGAAGTGTTATACAATCGCTCATATGGAGATTGATTCCCAAAAATAGGAGAGGGAATATGATTGATGGTATAGACGACAGCAAGAGCAGCTTCACCCCCAAAAACGCTCAAAACACGAAGAAGAGACAAGAAGAGCACAAACAGTATCAAGAATATGATGACATTTGCACTCAACACGCCCATTTTGTTGAGATATGTCGGGACAAGACCGATGAGGAATGGTATCATGTTGACTAAGAAAGTTAAGGAAGGTGGTGTCTCTATATTCCATGGCATTATCAGATCTAAAGACTTTAATGAATCGCAAAAATTGAGTTTGGATCATTTTTGAAAAAATTATAATAAATTTGTGGCAACTGAAATCAAGTTTGCAAAAGATAAATCCAAGTGAAGCAAAAATAGTCATCAATAAAAATGACAAAATACTTTGCCCCTTCCATAGTAACAGTCAGAGAAGGTCCCCAAATATCAGAATAAACTAAATCAAAAGAGGCAGAAGAAAAAGAATTATTTTATTGAAAGGTAAAGCTGGTTATTTTTCAAGTTTACAAGACAAGTAATCAAATTGTGACCATGCCCTTACTAACCAGTAGAAATTAAATATTGTAGATGACTTAAAGAAACATGCCCCAAACAAGAATACAAAAGACTGAAAGGAGAGTTGGTCGCTTCAGAAGCAGCAGCAGTAGAAAGGACTAAAGGATATAGGTATTTGGGAAGACGAAGATGGATAAGCTCAAACAGATGTCCATGCTTGCGGCCTATCCCAAGGATTTGCCTTACCCGTGGATCCTGCACAATATAACCAGTGAAAGAGAACAAAACAGTGAGTCCGAGGTCACAAAGTTTACCCACATATATGAGATTGAGAGTAAGATTAGGTATGTGATAAGTATGGGAAAGTGAAACATGGGATGTAGTGACATGTCCAACATTGTTGACATGCATATGGGATCCATCTGCAGTGTGAATAGGTAGAACATAACCTATAGATTTTGTGGAAGAAATAGCAATTCATCAAGGGTCATGTGGTTACAACATGTAGAGTCAAAGAACCAAGATGATATACCTAAAGTGATAGACAAAGCAGTAGCAAGCGGATTACTGGATCTAGAAAGAACTTGTTTGATGATAGCCTCAATATCACTAGCATTGAAAGAGGAAGAGGGCGACTCTGGTGGACAAGAGTCATTGACAGTAGCAACAGAAAAATAAGAAACAAGCAAATAGTTATCCCTAAACTGATTACCTAATCTGTATTAGTTGCTGTGAGATCTGCCATTTTTTGGGTGTATTATGGTGCGATTTTTTGGGACAGTTACTCTAATAGTGGCCTAGGCTCATTTTGTGACAGAACTTGCAAACTCAGGTAGGACAATTGAGTAGTGCATGACACTTCTTATGAAAATATAATCAGTGAGGCTGGGACAACTGATTGCCGCGAGGACGATGAGTAGCAAGAACAATGTTTGGATGCGATGACCGGACAGTGCCAAAATGGGTTGCCTTAGAAAGCAACTCAGAGATGGCTTGTTCCAAAGTTGGTAAAGGATTACGATGGAGAAGAAATGCTTGAACAAGCTCAAAAATGTCGATGAGAGTGTTAAAACGACCAAACTGATGACTCATGGATGGTGTTGAGGTGTTCCGAAATGAACTGATAATTTGATGATTCTTGCTTTCCCATTCTTCCACGTTTCGCGTATTTGTTAGCCTGCTCGTCCTTAAGTTGAGCAGGTTCCTTGATATCACCAGTTACATAACGTTAGAGTTTATGACCTTTAAGAAAATTGATCATATACTGGGCCCAAACGATATAGTTGAAGCCCTCAAGAAGTATGGAAATTGGCTGAGAGACATCAAATAGAGCCATAGTGGATCTTAACGGTTGGTGAATGGCAAGAAGGTCGTGCAAAGGGTCACCGGAAAGTCGTCGTAGGGTCATCGGAGAGTCGTCGTAGAGTCACCGAATGGTGGTCAGTAGGTCACTAGAAAGTGGCTAGAGGGTCGCCGATGGGTGGAGGATGACCGGAAGATAGACTCTGATACCATGTGAAAGAAAAGAATAGAAAGCAAATATTTATATAATAAAGTAGTTAGATTTTTGTGTCTTTAACTTTTCGCGTCTCAGATTGGTTGAAGAAATATTGATCCAACGGGCCAAATGCAAAATCCACCCCCCCAACTTTTTGAGCAAGACTTGTATTCCTTCCACAATTCTAAGACTTCTATCTCTTTGAAGGCACTATGTTACTCATAAAAAATTGTAAATATTTTTTTATAAATAAAAATAATATATAATACAATTTCAACAATACAACAACCAAATTGATATTATTCAACTTGTATGCAAAACATAAATAATCAAACATTTATATAATGAAAGTCATGCTACAACTACTGCAATATATTAATTCAAAATTTTAAGAAAATATAATTATTATTGATTAAAAATCAGTAATTTTAACATTTTTAATAAACTTTATCTCAAATTTCAAAAAAATATAACTATTTATTTGTTTTACATGTTTCTACTTAAAGTTCATAGCATTATCTCAGTACAATTTTTTCAATGTAAGTTCGTGTAACTTTTATGGGAAAAACATCCAAAAGTTTCAAGTGAATTCTCGTAAATACAAAAAAAATTGTTGAGAAATTAAAATCGATTTACATTTGAGTTCAACTTAAGTATTCATAAATTCAATTGAATTTAAGTTTGGTTGGGGCTATTCCCGCCTCACAAATCTCCATTCCAACCCTATTTAATTTTTCATTATCAAACTACTAAGTTCACCCCTTCTATATCCACCTCATTAGTAATTAAGTGCACCCCATGCTACATACACCTCATTTAATAAGCAAACTCACCTTATATTTTGTCATAACTAGGATTTCATTCTCTATTTCATCTCATTCACTCACACAAATACTTTGTCAATATGAATTTTTTCAATGAGATACAGGTTAATATTACTTCTCAATTTAATTATATGTTTGATTTCTAGTTTGTTGTATGGATTTTCATTATTTTCAGTATGTTTTGATAATTCTGTCAAGTTTAATAATTTTTTATTTAAAATTTATATGTTTATATATATATGTATGCTTTCATATTATTTGTTCTTTTTTTTATCTTGTTTAGGTTTTGCATATATGCCTGTTATTTTTTTTTCTTGTTCAATTTTATGTTTGTGCTTGATACCTTTTTTTTTCATGTCCAGTTTTGCATCTTATAGTTTTGCGTTTTTATAGTTTTGCTTATTCATTTAATCTTTGTTTGGTTTTTTTTTTCCTTCTTGTTTTGGTTTACTTCTTTCTTTCTTTTTCTTCCTTGTTTCATTCTTTTCTTTTAACGGGAGTGTATGTAGCATAGGGTGGGCTTAGTTAATAATGAGATGGATACAGAAAGGGTGGACTTAATAGTTTGATAATGAGAAATTAAATGGGGTGGGGAATGGAGATTTGAAGGGTGGGAATAGCCCCACCTTTTAAGTTTAAGCAAGAATTTATACTTTATACTCGACAATCAAATTTAGCTCAATTTGAGTCTTAATCATAATTACGTCAAACTAATAATTGAATTTAAGTTCGACTCAATTAACACTTATATCGTAAACCTACAACCTAATTCTTATATATTCCCGTTCACTGAGACTCTATAAACTTTTTTTTAATTTAGTTATTCTTTATTACTTTTACAATCAATTTTAATTTGACTTCAACTTGAATACTCTCGTAAAATTCAAGGAATATTAAGTTTAAGCAAGAATATATACTTTATACTCAAAAATTAAATTTAGTTCAATTTGAATCCTAATTATAATCACTTTGAACCTATAATCGAGTAAAATTAAAGAATTTTTATAATTTTTGGGCGAGAAAAAAATTGGAGGAAGAATTTCGATCGTTTGATCAATAATTTTTAAACAATCTGAGCCTCGAAAAGTTCAAGACAAATAATGCTGGCTCTCTTAATATATAGATATATCACAAATTACATATATATTATTCACCTATTATACATTCGAATATTGTAGTATTTTTATTTCAATACAAAATATAACTTATATTATAGTTATTCGACTTGTTTTAATGCAAAGAATTTATATTTAAGGTCCATTTGTTTATTTGAAATTTTTAAAATTATATTTAATTAGAATCATAATTAACGACCTAATAATGTGTAGTATGAGATAGAAGGAATTATATATATGTAATTTGTGATATATCTATATAATAAAGTAGCTAAATTTCTTTGTTTTTAACTTTTCGTGGCTCAAATTATTTGTAGGCATTTGATCCGACGATCGTAATTGGACTTAACTACTATAACACTCAAGTCTCTCATATAACTCTCTCTCTCCTATCTCTTAGAGGTTTTAAACACACACTATCGCATCATCTCTATGTTTCTCTCTCTTTATCTATAATCTATACTAATAAGATAGAGCTCAATTTGAATCTCTAAAGTTGGAAAAGCACAAAGACGGCTCAGATTAATTCTAATTTTAACTCCAAGATCTAGATTTTATCTAATTCTTCCAATTGGATCTAGTGGCCCACAATTCATCCGACATAAAAAAAAATTTTGCCCAAATGGAATCCAACCCCTACACACTACCCACTCTTGCACTTTACCCAACCCCTTACATGGCGAGAGGCTACACCAACCCAACGGCTACTCTCTCTCTATCTTCTAGAAGATCAACTTAGACGTGTTCTCTATCTCTCCGAGAAGACTTCTCACCTCTCACTCCTCTGCCATGGCTAGCGGCGATCAACCAACATCCGACAATGACAGCTCAATCCAAGTACCTTCCTTCCCCCTCTCTCTCCAATCAGTCTTTCTATCTCACTACTCTCACCTCTCTTTCACACACATACACACACACACCAACACACATATATATGTACACACACATTGCACATAAACACAGCTGCACACACACACCATTCACATTCACACACATAAACATACAACAATTTCTATGAATTGGCTGTTAATTTGGGTGATTTGTAGAAATTTGGTTGTTAAGTTTTGTAAGAAATTAAATGATAGGGTTCTCAAATTGGGGTTTTCCATGACATCGTGGTTTAAATTAAAATTGTTGTTGTGGTTGCCAATTAAACTTCCTTGGTTTTGATGCATGATTTTTAACCTTCTGATGTTGTTATCAACTAATTGGTTTTGACGTGGAATGATGTGGGTTTGTGGAATTTCAAACCTTGGTGTGTAGTGGATGAGGTTAGAAATTAGCTGCATATATCGTTTTTAGGTCTCCATATTTAAAGTTGTCGAAAGTTTGGGATAAATGTTCTTCTAAAGGTATAATTAGCTATATAAAATAATCAACACAAAGAATGGCTTCAATTAAAGATTGGACTCGAATATGCTTGACCCAATAATTTTTTATGTCTACCATGATACTTATTTCTTGAGGGATATATTGGTCTCATAGTGGATGAGTGGGTGAAAAACTTTTGCTTGACAAACTTTGCTAGGCTTTAAAGTAATCTCATTTCTTAGAAAATGATGTCAAGTGCCCTTTCTTAGTAGTGAGTTTTTTTTTATGTCAATTCCTATTGTTGTGCTAAATAATGTACAAAGTCTATCTATGTCCATCAACTCTTGTAATCATCGTATTTCCATTTTATTTTATTTTTCATGCTTTGAGTTTGTTAGACTTTGCCTTCATTGTTGGCCTATCAACTACTTCAATGTGTTTGTGATGTTTAATTAGGTACCGTTAATCTTACCACTACCAAAAAAGGTAGTAATAACAAGAAAAGTGATTTGTATGTGTCATTTTTTCCACTATAAAAGGTGACTTGTTTTGTTAAGGTGATTTGATCTAGTGGGCTTGATTTTTTGAGAAGCTCAATTTTTATTGTCACACCCCGAATTTCCACAAACTCGGGGAGTGAGTGAAAATGGAAAAGAAAAGTAAATAAAAGGTCATTAGTTTGATTAAATTGGTTTTTCATTCATTTTCTATGTTTTTTCAAAGTTTTTCAAACCACTTTTCTTCCATTTTTAGCTTATTTTTTCAAGGTTTCTAAACC